GTGTTGATGGCGCAAAGTTTCCCCTTTGAAAAAATTGTATAGTTCAATTATAATTAATAAGTAACTAGGATATGAGATAATGCTCTCACGGCGCGCTTTCAAACAGGCTGTAAAGCCTTCGCTGTCCGTCAAGTTCAGTGACTATTATTATTATTACGTTTACCATCTTAAAGTTAATTGAAGAGAAGAAATAAATTGCAGAGTTGGGCTTGACAAAGGAGTCATTTCTGAGAGTTTGTGGTAACGGTTTTAATAGTTTAACATAATAACCCTTGCGATAAGCAAGGAAAATGCTATCGGGTACTAGACTTTTTTCCGTAGATAACTTTGTTCTCAGGACTCATCGACTAGTTTCTTACTTTCTCCTGTACACTAACGAATGTGCCTGGGAAGGCAAAGGTACTGGGTTCGAATCTAACCAGAACTTTCTTCAAACGGTAAAAATTCAGGCTCAGTTGTCAGATCGAGATATTTTTTATATTTCGTGCGAAAAATGCTACCTTAGTTGTTATTAGCATTTTAAAAATCCGACCAGATCGAAATTCGCATTGGGTATAGTTTTACCTGATTTAATAAAGTTTTGCTTTTATTTTTTGAGTTCTTTTTTTGACTTGATTCGTCTGCAGCCCCAACTCGCTTTTGTCAATTATTTTCACTGCTCCACAATCGTAATTGTGGAGATTGATTTGCTGCGTCGTTCAAGGGGAGCAGTTTTGTTACGGAGAAGCGGGCGAAACTCCTGTGACCGGTTCTAGCGGGCAGTTTTTAATTAGTGCGGAGAACCGAGAAAAACTCCTAATGTGAGTTGGTTTTTGTTTCTGGGGAACCTACGACACCCCTCCTGTCCAGATGTTATAATTGAAACCAGTTAGCGGTTTCGACAGGTTGTTAGCAGAGGTCGTCTATTGTCAGTGTTGTTGGTTTCGACCGGACAGCTAAAAAGGTGAGGTACGTCATGAGGACTATAAAAACAGTTAGGACAGATGTTATTGGTGTCTTTATCGATTCTCGATAGGTAGCTGTTGAGATGGGTGCTATATCCGCAGCGCAGTTGAGCAAGAAGGCATCTATTACGACGAGGAAGGCGACTTTATTCTTGTGCTACATGGAGATTTGTTGAGCCCGTTAGTTTCGCAGGGTTTTTCAAAGCAAGCTTGTAGTCTGATGGTGAGGTTGATTTATTTTCGTCGAGGAGTTTAATTTCATCGTGATATTTTTCAGCCAGGCTGTTCCAATTTTCTGGATTTATAGTTTGCGTATGTGGTGTGGTATTTAGCTCTGTGTGTTTAGTGAGCTCCGATTAAGAATGTTTGCAAAGCATTTCATCGTGTTTTGACTGGCAAGATGTCGGTTGCGCAATGAAGATGCTCAATGGGGCTCATTTTAGTGCAGCCAGTCGCAATTCTTAGAGAAATATTTTGCTGAATCTGTTGGTCATTCCATCTGGTGTTGTTGAGCGAGGGCGATCAGACTGGAGCAGCATAATTGAGAGCTCTACGCTCATTGGCTTTATAAGTAATCTTTACTACAACCCCAGTTAGTACCAGGAAGTTTTTTCATTCACGTATTCCTCGCTTTCAGGTTTTTCATGATAATACTGACGTGGTGCATAGAAGACAAAAGTTTAATAAAAGTTACGCACAGGACTTTGGGTTTTTTCCTCGTTGGCAATACATTCTTATTCATGACGACATTAGATTTGCGTTTGACTTCTTTGACCCAAGTCGTGAGGAGTTGCTGTGGATTTGTCCACTGAAAGTTTAAGATTTTGACTCGAACCAGTGTTAGAGATCTTTAAAAATATGGTTTGACGGTTGTTTCTAATTTTGAGATAGGACCTGTGGTAGTAATGGTGATGTCATCAGCATAGGTGGTAATTTTCATGTTGATTGCTCATGGGAGAGGCATAGAGGACATGTAGATTTGAAACAGGACAGGCGATAATAACCTTCCTTGAGAAACCTCTTGTTACATTCGTCGCCTTTTTGATTTTCTGTTTCTAAATTCAAAAGCAGCGCGTCCTTGTAAATATGATGTGATCCGTCTTTAAGTATTGTTGGATAGGTTAGAAAGGTGGATTTCTTGCAGCAAGATACCGTGATCCACAGTGTCGAAAGCTGCCGTAAGATCAAGAGCAACCAATAGTGTTCTGTGTGGCGGTCTTGGTTTGGTTAAGACCGTTTTTCAATGTCGGTCGACTTAGTTTATATCTTTTTAGTGGCCCCTTATTACATCGGTTGATGACCGAGAAAAGTGTGTGTGTGTGTGTGTGTTTGTGTGTGTGTGTGTGTGTGTGTGTGTGTGTGTGCGTGTGTGTGTGTGTGTGCGTGTGTGTACAACCCCAGTTAGTAGCAGGAAGTTTTTTTCATTCACGTATTCCGCGCTTCCAGATTTTTCATGATAATACTGACATGGTGCATAGAAGACAAAAGTTTATCAAAAGTTACGCACAGGACTTTGGGTTTTTTCCTCGTTGGTAATACATTCTTATTCATGACGA